TCATATCAGGACACTTTTTTGTGCTCTAAGCTTTCACCTAGTTCACCAGCTCTGACAGGCCACAGGGCAGAAAAAAACAATTATGAATAACAAGGGGCAAAAAATGAAAGGGGCACAAAACGTATCCTTGTAAGATTAAAATGGGTTTAATATGTGATTTTTCAAGTAGAACTACATCTCTGTGACAGTAACACAAGGAACAGTTGACTTTGATGATTAAAGACACTGATGATCTAGGTATGATTCCTGAAACAGAGAGAAGCAGAACAGATTGCTGACAGAACAGGCAAGAAGCAAACAGCTCAGCACGGCAAAGCAGGCTGGTAGCAAAAGCAAACGCGCCATAAGTTGGCTGGTGTGAGGTAACATACGCAATACTTCACAGCGATCCGGCAGAGTCTGGATGTTTGGCTGCTTCTTTAGTACTGGCTTTCATGGGTGGATACTGCTCACGTGTGGTGATGAGATCAGAGCGAGGTGTGTGTGAGGGAACTGCGATAGGCACGCTCCCCAACCACATGCCAGGAGTGACAGGGAGAAAAACACAAAGCTGACAGAACAAAAACACACCAGCATTTAAACCACAGACAATGACAAACAAAACAAAGACAACCACTAACATATAGACAACATGGCCGAGGATTCGTGACAAAGTTCTGTGTTTCACACAATACACAAAGCTTATTCTAACAAATTCTGAAGTGTATGTGTCTGTGTAACACATGTATTACACCAAAGCACAATTTAAATAAACAAAAAGAAATAAATATGCACCAATACAGGTCATACACACGGTTTTCACAGTGGGGCCCGCCTGTTCACATGTTACACTGAGACAAAAGGCCTTTCTAAAGACTGTTCTCGTTCCCCAGTGCCTGAAAAATGGACATAACCTCTGCATTCTACAGGCTTCAATAGCTGCTGAGTAAGGGGTTCTCTGAGGGGGGCCACTGATTTGTTATGTTTGGTCTGGTATAAAAGGAAGGGGTTAAACCAGGGAGGAAGGCAGTTCAGGAGCAACAGCACATCTGCATCCAACATGAGCAACACCAGCATGAACATGAGGGGCAAGGTACTTCTATTAAAAACCTTTTTCTAATAACCAGAAATTATTTTTTACAAAATGAGATTCACTTTTTTTCCAGATCATCTTCTACGAGGACAGGAATTTCCAGGGTCGTTCCTATGAGTGCATGAACGACTGTTCTGACATGACTTCCTACCTGAGCAGGTGCCACTCCTGCAGGGTGGAGGGCGGCTGCTTCATGGTCTATGACCGTCCCAACTACATGGGAAACCAGTGGTTCATGAAGAGGGGCGAGTACGCTGACTACATGAGCATGATGGGATGGAGTGGTGGCATCAGGTCTTGCCGTATGATCCCCATGGTAAATAATAATATAATTGTGGTTTGTTGTGGACATGGTGACCTCTAATATCATACAATATTATACTATTCTCTATTATACAAGACCTTTCATGACTCCTCGCTGATGTAAACTCTCAAACTGTTTTTACAGCACAGAGGCCAGTTCAGGATGAAGATCTACGAGAGGGAGAACTTCGGTGGTCAGAGTTACGAGATGATGGACGACTGTGACAACATCATGGACCGTTACCGTATGGCTGACTGCCAGTCCTGCCACGTGATGGACGGCCACTGGCTGATGTACGAGCAGCCCCACTACAGAGGCAGGATGATGTACATGAGGCCCGGAGAGTACAGGAACTTCAGGGACATGGGCATGAGCGGCATGAGGTGGATGAGCATGAGGCGCATCATGGACTCTTGCTAATAAATGTTCACTAAATGATCACTGAACGTATCAAATGCTACTGAATAAAGCAATTGCTGAACTACTTTGACTTTTGTCAAGCTTATTGCCCAACTTATAATTATATTCCATAAAATATGTAATGGCTCATGAAATTCAATAAATTAGATTTTCTTTAGACAGAAAGCAGATTTTAGAAAGCAAATGTTCATCTCAAACTCTTCTAAAATGTGAAATGTGGCTCTACATTTTAGTCCTAAACTGCAATCTGCCCCAAAGCTGCTAAATCCCCCCACATCCCTAGAAAAAAGACTAAGGACATGAATGTCACTCGCTTCAATGAAATCACTTTCACACATCAATTCATCAATTTGCATTGTTAAGTGCCTGTTGCTGATTTCTAACTCAGGTGACCAGTTAGTTTTTTTGTGTGGATGTTTGCATGACATCACAGAGTCAGGAGGCCAGACTAGAGGGAAGAGGAGCAACATCAATTTATATAAAAGAAACTGGCATAAAAATACTAATTAGACCTCTACAATTTGCTATTTTTTCACTCTTGTGATATATTTGATGAAGATACTAACACATTAACCAAAAGGTTATTCACATTCACATATATGATTTTCTTGTCCACAGTGAAACTAGATCACCAGCTGGCTTTACAGTAATATTTTGCATGTGGCAAAGCTAATGAGAAAAACTGTAATAACTTTATCAGTTCTGACAGATCATGAGAAATAAAGACTTCCTTTTCTTTTGGCCTCAATATTTCACTTCCCACAGCCAAGCTACAAGCTGCTTTAGCTTATACAGTCTTCTAAGATAAAAGATTAGCAGAATTGTAGTTCCACCAAAACATCCTATATCAATGCAGAGTAGATGCATAAGACCACAATTAGTACAAGACAAGATTCTGTCTAGAATGTATAACATATTTTAGGAACCTGTAAAGTAAATTATGAAAATAATTTTATTCCTTTATACGTTTTACTTATTAACATTAAACTTATCTAGCTTTTGATCTCCTGTTTCAAGTGAGATGACAGGCGAGTATTGCACAAACAATTTTTAGCCTTTTGAGGTGTGACTTCCTAATAAACTAAAGTTCAAAACAACTGAACCCAGAGTAACTTGTGCTGCAGAGCCGACCCTCCACAAAGCACTGGGCATTCTTATGAGCGATGGAGGAAATCTATGTAAATGCTGAATATGACAGATCTGTTGACTCAAAACCAGACAGGTATCAGACTGGTAAGAATAATGAGTCAGACAAAGAGGCTGGCAGACTGAGCTCTGCGGGAATGTATATTATTATCTGTCAGTATTATTGTATCCTTGACTATAGTGTGTTCTCTGTTTTCAGATTCCCGGAGCTCAGTGAGGAGATTTCATAGTGCTGTTCTCTGTCTGGGGCTGCTGAGTGTTTTCCTGCTGGCTGGAGTCATCTGCTTTGGTGTCCTCTGTGAGTTTGGTTCACATTCAGAAGTTTGTTTTTTTTAAATTATGTGTTTAGTTAGGCATTCTTTCCTATTCTATTTTTGGCTGCCCTTCTTGCTTTCACAATATTCCTGTTGAATTATTTGATATCAAGCATGGAAGTTTTATATTTTGTGTTGGTGCCATATTTTAAACTGTATTTAAAAACTGGTGCATGTTGTCTTTATCATGTCTTTTCTATTTTGGATATCTAAATAGATTTGTTTCAGTGATGATCCACAAAACTACAGTAATAACAGAAAAAACATTATTCCACATATTTATACACGTTTATCCTGCATGCACAAAATCCTGTGCTATCTGAACAGTAGCCTTCCCCCATCAAGCACTGGAGACTGTGATGTCGTAAGTCAGTTTATTTGAAGAGAAAGGGTGAAATTAAGAAATGAAACACAATTACCAAAGTTACTTAATTATTGATGAGTCACAAACACCATACAATGATTACTGTGTGTAAATATACCAAATTATTTTGGTTAGATTTATAATATTTCTTTAATGGTTCAGCAATTTTATGAAAAAGAGGCATTATATTACAGGATCGATATTGATTGTTAAAGACTTCATATTTTGAACCTCGTTATCTTATATGGAAAATATTGTATTCACAAATACAAATGGTCCTACCACAAATACATTTCACATTAGAAATCAACAACATTATATTGAAGCATTATCTGGTCTGAAGAGAAGTAAAGCAATTAAAACAGTTCAAATGTGTAAATATTTAAACATTTTTCTTTAATGCCTTTGTTTCTTGTTATGTGATACATCTAGTTTTGTCCAGATCTATTATTATGTTGTTTTATGTAGTTTTGTTTTGGCTCTCATCCACCTTGTAGGGCAAGAGCCAGCAAGATTTACAGGAGACCTATTATATTGTATGTATACTGTATTATCCCTGTATGGCAGATTCAAAGTTTAAAAAAATAAATTTTCTATCTTATACTACCTTCATATAGGGCATCATTTTACCCTCTGTCTGTAGCTGTCCATGCTACTGTCACTTTAAGCCCCCCCCCCCCCCTATGTGAGCGGTACAGACAGACCGAGCGTAGCTTTGCGGAGCAAATGACCATATATGGAATACCGGCTCATGTAGCTCCATGCGTGGTCAAACAGAGCCGTCGGTAGAAAAAGCAGCAGAGTGATCAGAATAGGAGGAAATCTGAGGTTATTACTCACAGGGATTTCTAAATACTTTTACCTCATTATTTGAAGCTTTGGCCATGTTAAACATGAACATCCGACATTGTAACATTGTAGATAATTCATACAATATGGAAAAGCATAATAGGTCTCCTTTAAAAATCATGCAAAAACATGAAATAAAAAGTGTGCAACTTCTTTCAGCGTTGTCAAGGTAATAATAATGTGTGATAATGTGGGAAAGTGCTGCCCCATTCCTGTTTACAGCATATTGAACCCTTGCAGCCTTTTGCACTCAATCAATTACTAAGTCATGTCAGCTAAGTCTGTGAGGGTTCAGGGCTTAGGGTTTAGGGGGGACATTGGGATTGGGCCAATGTGGCGGACCCTCCCCATGAACGTACAAACGGAGTGGAAGTAGGTAGGGGGAGGGAGTAGTAAGTACTTTCGGAAAGGTCATGAGTCGCATGGTACAAAGGTCATCTGTTTATTAAAGTACAGTGTACAGTGTCAAATACAAAAGCCACAACACAAATACAAATGCCACAACACGATTACAAAAGCCACAACACGATTACAAAAGCCACAACACGAACACAAACGCCGCAACACGATTACAAAAGCCACAACACGAACACAAAAGCCACAACACGAACACAAACGCCGCAACACGATTACAAAAGCCACAACACGAACACAAAAGCCACAACACGAACACAAAAGCCACAACACATATACAAAAGCCACAACACAAATACAAAAGCCACAACACAAACACAAAAGCCACAACACGATTACAAAAGCCACAACACAAATACAAAAGCCACAACACGAACACAAAAGCCACAACACATATACAAAAGCCACAACACATATACAAAAGCCACAACACAAATACAAAAGCCACAACACGACTGCAAAAGCCACAACACGATTACAAAAGCCACAACACGAACACAAAAGCCACAACACAAATACAAACGCCACAACACGACTGCAAAAGCCACAACTCAAATACAAACGCAACAACACAAATACAAACGCCACAACACGAACACAAAAGCCACAACGGAAGTTGACAACGAAAGAGATGTTTAGTAACAGTTCTAACAGTAATTGTTCTCTGAAGAACACAACTATACACTGCATTCAAGAAGTCTGGGTTTGAATCATGGAAAGAACCTACTTCTTACAGTTTTTTTGGATTGCTTAAGCACGATTTTCAAAACAGGGCCCATGGTTTCTAAACACTACACACAATTAGCACAACCACACACCCAAATAGCAAAACACCACAGACCCTTTGCATAATTAAACACTCTTGTAAAAACTATACACTTCTGTTTAAAAACCACACTTTGTTACCATATGAAACACACACGTTTCACATTACTATACTCTGTTTGCACGAGTTACACTCTGCTGTGATGAACCTAAAACACTTTTAGCACTTCTACTTCCCTAGGATTAGAGTAGGCTACCATCAACAAAGTACAAATATAATGTAAATTAAAAACACTACACAAGACCAATGTTGCAGACTGAAGAAACTCATTTATTTCTCAACACTCCCAAAATGTTGACATGGAGATTCATAATACTGTAACAAAACGTCACTTTACATATTGTACTGTATGTTTACTGTAAAACAAAAACAACAACTAGACATTGTCTCTTCGCCTAGCTGGATCTGGCCAGAGAATTTCATCATCGCAGGCAATATTGTCATTAGCAAGACACCTTGGAAAGAAACGTCTTGAATGACGAATCCATCCTTGCATTGCTGCTACCTCCATCTGGTCACAGGCCTCCTCCATGGCTTGGATGACGTGTACCTCAGCCTGAAGAGACGGAAATCATATACCTTCCACCTCCATGCCGGGAAAACTCTTCTATAGGGTTGAGGAATGGAGAGTATGGTGGAAGATATAGGACGGTGAAATGTGGATGTTGCTGAAACCAGTTCTGAACCAGAGCAGAGCGGTGGAAAGACACATTGTCCCAGACAACAATGTATTGCATATGATCGATTTGATTTGCTGCTGTTATGTTGTGCAATTGGTCCAAGAATGTAAGTATGAGTGCTGTGTTGTAAGGGCCCATACGGGCATGGCGGTGGAGGACCCCATTCTGTGTAATGGCTGCACAGAGTGTTACATTACCGCCACGTTGCCCTGGGACATTGACTATAGCCCTGTGGCCAATGATGTTTCTTCCCCTCCTTCGTGTTCTCGTCAGGTTGAACCCAGCCTCATCTACGTAAATGAACTCATTCTGGATCTCCTCTCCATCCATTCGTAAAACTCTCTGAAGAACAGTGTCAGGCAAAATTGTGTAGTTCAGTGTAGATCTAGTATACATATTACAGTACAGTAAAAGATTATGAGACAGTATGCAAGATCACACTGCTAAAGTGAATACATACCTCTGTATAATCATGCCGCAGTCGTTTCACCCTTGCGCTCGAAAGGCACTCGATAAATTTGCTTCATTTGAATATGTTTTTTTTTTAAGGATGCGTGCCAGTGTTGATGTTGAGACACTGGCACACTGGTATAGTTTTTACAAGAGTGTTTAATTATGCAAAGGGTCTGTAGTGTTTTGCTATTTGGGTGTGTGGTTGTGCTAATTGTGTGTAGTGTTTAGAAACCACGGGCCCGGTTTTGAAAATCGTGCTTAAGCAATCCAAAAAAACTTTAAATGAAGGTCACGCAGGCGCAGCTGATTACACAGTCTCTACCCTCATTTCAACTTGGAAAACTGTTCCACGCTCAGTGTCCACAGTTGGGGAAACACATAAAAACTTTGTGCGTGCAATAACTGAGAGCACCGCTGCAAACTGTTTTGTGACTTTCCGGGTGGGTGAAATAGGGTGAAGTGTCTCCCCATTAAAAGAGATGCTGTGCGCATTTACGCACGGGCACAGCAGCGTAATATTTAAATTGACACGCCGACATGAATCAGTCAGAATCTAATGTTTAATGTTCTGTGTTCTTCTCCAAATCCAAAAGGTCTCACACACAGTCCAGGTTCATACAGTGAAATTGTTTGGAGTAAAGCAGCCGGCCTCCTGATCAATCCTGAAACTCCATCAGAGCGTCTAAATTATTTCAGAAGGTCAAGGTTGAATTCTGTTTCCTTTGCAGAGTTTCCTCTGCCTGTCCTGTCAAGTTTATAACTACAGCTTTTAGTTTTGCTGCATAAATTGAAAGTAAACTGTTAAACAAAAACACTCATACATCAACACAATAAAGAAATCACCTGGAAAGTTAAAAGGACCGGTAGAGGTGGGATAAATCTGAGAAAATAATTAGTTGGGTTGAGTGTGGGTGGATGATTTGTGCATACATGACTATTCAGATATTGTCAGAGCCAATTCACGCATCACACCAGTGTAGCTCGTATAATCGTGACAAAACAATGCAAACAGCTGCTGACGTCAAATTATTAGGCTGAAACATAAAGAGCATCTTCTGCATTCAGCACTAACCTGGTGTATTTTATGTTGTCATATTGTAACAATAGTGCCCATTATGTATTCTGCACATGTAATTTGCACACTGTGTTCCTCCCTGTCAATGGGGGTGCTGCAGCACCCTCCACACCCCCTTGTGTAAGTATAAAGTCATCTCTGTGGTAACCAGAGACTCCTTGCTTTTTGTTTAGCACATTTTGAGTCTGTTTTTTAAGCTAATCTGCACAAACAGCTGTTTAATTCACTCAAATATCCTGCTGTATATTATTTGACCAGAACAACATATTACTTATTTATCAAATGGGTAAGAAGTTCTTCTTCCATGTAGGCCTACATTTACTAATTTGGCACTTTTATGCAGAAAAAAGTCAGATTAAAAAGAACATTCTTTCTATGATTTGAACCCAGACCTCCTGACTGCAGGATGGCCACACTGCCACTGTACTATTGTGTAGTTGTGTTCCATGGAGAGTAATCCACTGTTATTTTTTCAGATTCGGCTGACTCTTTCATTGTCAGCTTCTGTGGTGATTCACTTTCGTTATGGCTTTTTCAATTTGTGTTGTGACTTCTGTTATCGTGTTATGACTTTTGTGTTTGTGTTGTGGCTTTTGTGTTCGTGTTGTGGCTTTTGTATTCGTGTTGTGGCGGTTGTATTTGTGTTGTGGCGTTTGTGTTGTGGCATTTGTATATGTGTTGTGGCTTTTGTAATCGTGTTATGTCTTTTGCAGTCGTGTTGTGGTGTTTGTATTTGTGTTGTGGCTTTTGTAATCGTGTTATGTCTTTTGCAGTCGTGTTGTGGCGTTTGTATTTGTGTTGTGGCTTTTGCAGTCGTGTTGTGGCGTTTGTATTCGTGTTGTGGCTTTTGTAATCGTGTTGTGGCTTTTGCAGTCGTGTTGTGGCGTTTGTATTTGTGTTGTGGCTTTTGTATATGTGTTGTGACTTTTGTAATCATGTTAAGGCTTTTGTAATCGTGTTATGGCTTTTGTACTCGTATTGTGGCTTTTGTACTCGTGTTGTGGCTTTTGTAATCGTGTTGTGGCGTTTGTATTTGTGTTGTGGCTTTTGTATATGTGTTATGGCTTTTGTAATCGTGCTGTGGCTTTTGCAGTCGTGTTGTGGCTTTTGTACTCGTATTGTGGCTTTTGTAATCGTGTTGTGGCTTTTGCAATCGTGTTGTGGCTTTTGTACTCGTATTGTGGCTTTTGTAATCGTGTTGTGGCTTTTGCAATCGTGTTGTGGCTTTTGTACTCGTATTGTGGCTTTTGTAATCGTGTTGTGGCTTTTGCAATCGTGTTGTGGCTTTTGTACTCGTATTGTGGCTTTTGTAATCGTGTTGTGGCTTTTGTAATCGTGTTGTGGCTTTTGTAATCGTGTTGTGGCTTTTGCAATCGTGTTGTGGCTTTTGTACTCGTATTGTGGCTTTTGCAGTCGTGTTGTGGCTTTTGTACTCATCTTGTGGCTTTTGCAATCGTGTTGTGGCGTTTGTATTTGTGTTGTGGCGTTTGTGTTGTGGCTTTTGTAATCGTGTTGTGGCGGTTGTATTTGTGTTGTGGCGTTTGTGTTGTGGCATTTGTATATGTGTTGTGGCTTTTGTAATCGTGTTATGTCTTTTGCAGTCGTGTTGTGGCGTTTGTATTTGTGTTGTGGCTTTTGCAGTCGTGTTGTGGCGTTTGTATTCGTGTTGTGGCTTTTGTAATCGTGTTGTGGCTTTTGCAGTCGTGTTGTGGCGTTTGTATTCGTGTTGTGGCTTTTGCAGTCGTGTTGTGGCGTTTGTATTTGTGTTGTGGCTTTTGTATATGTGTTCTGACTTTTGTAATCATGTTAAGGCTTTTGTAATCGTGTTAAGGCTTTTGTAATCGTGTTGTGGCTTTTGCAGTCGTGTTGTGGCGTTTGTATTTGTGTTGTGGCTTTTGTATATGTGTTGTGACTTTTGTAATCGTGTTATGGCTTTTGTACTCGTATTGTGGCTTTTGTAATCGTGTTGTGGCGTTTGTATTTGTGTTGTGGCTTTTGTATATGTGTTGTGACTTTTGTAATCATGTTAAGGCTTTTGTAATCGTGTTAAGGCTTTTGTAATCGTGTTATGGCTTTTGTACTCGTGTTGTGGCTTTTGTAATCGTGTTGTGGCGTTTGTATTTGTGTTGTGGCTTTTGTAATCGTGTTGTGGCTTTTGCAGTCGTGTTGTGGCTTTTGTACTCGTATTGTGGCTTTTGTAATCATGTTGTGGCTTTTGTACTCGTATTGTGGCTTTTGTAATCATGTTGTGGCTTTTGCAGTCGTGTTGTGGCTTTTGTACTCGTGTTGTGGCTTTTGTAATCATGTTGTGGCTTTTGCAGTCGTGTTGTGGCTTTTGTACTCGTGTTGTGGCTTTTGTAATCGTGTTGTGGCGTTTGTATTTGTGTTGTGGCGTTTGTGTTGTGGCATCTGTATCTGTGTTGTGGCTTTTGTAATCGTGTTATGGCTTTTGTAATCGTGTTGTGGCGTTTGTATTTGTGTTGTGGCGTTTGTGTTGTGGCATCTGTATCTGTGTTGTGGCTTTTGTAATCGTGTTATGGCTTTTGTAATCGTGTTGTGGCGTTTGTATTTGTGTTGTGGCTTTTGCAATCGTGTTATGGCTTTTGTAATCGTGCTGTGGCTTTTGCAGTCGTGTTGTGGCGTTTGTATTCGTGTTGTGGCTTTTGCAATCGTGTTGTGGCTTTTGTAATCGTGTTGTGGCTTTTGTACTCGTGGTGTGGCGGTTGTATTTGTGTTGTGGCGTTTGTGTTGTGGCATCTGTATCTGTGTTATGGCTTTTGTAATCGTGTTGTGGCGTTTGTATTTGTGTTGTGGCTTTTGTATTCGTGTTGTGGCTGTTGTATATGTGTTGTGGCTTTTGTAATCGTGTTATGGCTTTTGTAATCGTGTTGTGGCTGTTGTATATGTGTTATGGCTTTTGTAATCGTGTTGTGGCTTTTGCAATCGTGTTGTGGCGTTTGTATTTGTGTTGTGGCTTTTGTAATCGTGTTGTGGCTGTTGTATATGTGTTATGGCTTTTGTAATCGTGTTGTGGCTTTTGCAATCGTGTTGTGGCGTTTGTATTTGTGTTGTGGCTTTTGTATATGTGTTGTGGCTTTTGTAATCGTGTTATGGCTTTTGCAATGGTGTTGTGGCGTTTGTATTTGTGTTGTGGCTTTTGTATTCGTGTTGTGGCTGTTGTAATCGTGTTATGGCTTTTGCAATGGTGTTGTGGCGTTTGTATATGTGTTGTGGCTTTTGCAGTCGTGTTGTGGCTTTTGTAATCGTGTTGTGGCTTTTGCAGTCGTGTTGTGGCGTTTGTATTTGTGTTGTGGCTTTTGTAATCGTGTTGTGGCGTTTGTATTTGTGTTGTGGCGTTTGTATTTGTGTTATGGCTTTTGTAATCGTGTTATGGCTTTTGTAATCGTGTTGTGGCTTTTGTAATCGTGTTGTGGCGTTTGTATTCGTGTTGTGGCTTTTGCAATCGTGTTGTGGCTTTTGTAATCGTGTTGTGGCTTTTGTAATCGTGTTGTGGCGTTTGTATTTGTGTTGTGGCTTTTGTATTCGTGTTGTGGCTGTTGTATATGTGTTGTGGCTTTTGTAATCGTGTTATGGCTTTTGTAATCGTGTTGTGGCTGTTGTATATGTGTTATGGCTTTTGTAATCGTGTTGTGGCTTTTGCAATCGTGTTGTGGCGTTTGTATTTGTGTTGTGGCTTTTGTAATCGTGTTGTGGCTGTTGTATATGTGTTATGGCTTTTGTAATCGTGTTGTGGCTTTTGCAATCGTGTTGTGGCGTTTGTATTTGTGTTGTGGCTTTTGTATATGTGTTGTGGCTTTTGTAATCGTGTTATGGCTTTTGCAATGGTGTTGTGGCGTTTGTATTTGTGTTGTGGCTTTTGTATTCGTGTTGTGGCTGTTGTAATCGTGTTATGGCTTTTGCAATGGTGTTGTGGCGTTTGTATATGTGTTGTGGCTTTTGCAGTCGTGTTGTGGCTTTTGTAATCGTGTTGTGGCTTTTGCAGTCGTGTTGTGGCGTTTGTATTTGTGTTGTGGCTTTTGTAATCGTGTTGTGGCGTTTGTATTTGTGTTGTGGCGTTTGTATTTGTGTTATGGCTTTTGTAATCGTGTTATGGCTTTTGTATTCGTGTTGTGGCATTTGTATATGTGTTGTGGCTTTTGTATATGTGTTATGGCTTTTGTAATCGTGTTGTGGCTTTTGCAGTCGTGTTGTGGCTTTTGTAATCGTGTTAAGGCTTTTGTAATCGTGTTGTGGCTTTTGCAGTCGTGTTGTGGCTTTTGTAATCGTGTTAAGGCTTTTGTAATCGTGTTGTGGCGTTTGTATTTGTGTTGTGGCTTTTGTAATAGTGTCGTGGCTTTTGTAATCGTGTTGTGGCGTTTGTATTTGACCTGAGACCTACAGGCCACCGTATTAAAGTTATACATTCATGTTGTACAAACTACTGCCAGCAGGAGGAGAAGTGAAATAATGTCTTAATGGGGACAAAACATGTACAGTAGCCTACTTCAAAATTTTGCATGTAAAGCAGTACCCCTCACAGAAACATGCCACATGTTGTGCCTTTTTAGAGTACAGGGTTTTAACTTACTTATTGGTTTAAGAAAATACAATCAAGTAATTATTGTTGCATTTCCTTTACCTCCCGTAGCACTGAACATTGAACTTTTTGCTATGTATTATGTATATGTGTTATTGTACCTATTGTGAAAAAAGCAGGGTCAAGGAATACATATTATATACTGAATTTGGCTGCTTTGGGTCAGACTGCAAAGCTGCTTTAATGATGATGCCTGTCCCTCAGCCAGCCTCAAGTAGCTGGATACAAAAAGTATTTTTTGCTATAAAACATTTGCTCAACACATGCAGAAATCTTTAGATGTTTGCTTCAAAATGAATCTATAAGCTATAATTATGGTTAGTGAAAAATGTCCATTTTGAATGATTCAAATCGTAGTTGAATAAACATAAATTTGATGTATTTTGATTTATTTCAGACCATCACTCAGCCGCAGATTTCCACTATCAATACCAACCTGACGGAGCATCTCCAGGCCAGTAATAACAAGCTTTCCTCCATGTCTGAAGAGAGAGAGCTGCTGAATGCCAGCCTCATTGAAACGACTAAAGAGCTGAACAGGCTTCAGAGTTTGATGAGACAGAGTGAGTGACATCTCTGATTACTGCACACACGGTGTCTACAAGAAGCTCATGTTTTTCATGTTCATGATTTTTCATGTCATGTTCATGATTTTATTAGATTTAAATATTTGTATCCCACAGAAAACAATCCACAAATGTGTACTATGATGTGCAAATATTTCACTATCTACAAATATTATATATTTTTACATTTGTGATGTGTAAAATCATATTCATAAAAATACAGAGTGACTTCTACACACAAAACAGTTTTTGCGCATTTGCAGATTGCTTTCTGTCAATTTTTGGGTCATGTTATATTTGTAACTTCCTTTTAAAAACAATTATAGAATTTTGTCCAATGTGTACTGCGGAGATCTGCAATATATATATATATATATATATATATATATATATATATATATATATATATATATACGCACACTGTAAACCCGAACGCACTGCTTACTAAAAAGCATTATGAGTTCAGCAATCAAAACCAGTTACTAAGTACACCCCACATTAAACAACTAAGTCTTCTTAAAGGTTCAGTATGTAATATTTCTGAGGAGCTTTTGACAGAAATTCAATATAAGATCCATAACTATGTTTTCAGTGGTGTATAAAGACATTACATAATGAACCATTATTACCTTAGAATGAGGCATTTTTATCTACATAACTGCGGAACATGCTCTTCTATGGAGGTCATGTTTCTACCATAGCTGACAACGCACACGTGGCGCTAAAGAGTGTTTTTCGTCAAAACGGCGTTCTTCTGCTTGTATAATTCCAGCAGTGTAGATGCCCGTCACTACATTAAATATGTACAGAAGAAGAAGAGGAATAATAATAATAGTAATATACAGTCTCTGAGTAGTCTTCTGGTTTATTAGAAATAAGAAGAGAAGTGACATTGGACAAACGATGAGCACACACAGGGATGTGGATTTTCCCAGATGGAAGGCTACATTGTGGGACAGATGTTTTCAAAGCGGTGCTGAAGTTGTCTGTTTTCTCCTGGACAGGTAATTAACTTGCAGTTTTTTCTGAATGCTTAAGCGCTAATCGTGATTCTTGTAGCACAATTTCTAAAACTATTAATACGTATAGCAAAACCACTCACTGAGTTTGCAAAACTAAAAGCACAAACACTGCTTTGCACTTTGTAACACACACTTTGCAAAACTGTAGGCACAATTCACTGCACAACACTCTTTTTGCAGAACTTTAAACACAACTCACTGCTTACACTCAATTACCAAATTTCCAACACACTCCTAGCAAAATTATACACATGTATGGCTATCATTAACTTTGCCTTTCTGCAACTGCAACAGCAGCCACAGGAGGTATTTTCTTTCAGCGCTGAACTTTCTTTGTTCCTGAATACAGACTTCACTTGCTGGACGAGCAACTCTGTTTTCTTCTTTCCTTTTTACCTCTATTATTTTTCTATGTGTTACCAACGCAATTTTGGATCCCTAAAGAAACTGTTATACGCAAGATAACGTTCCGTACCTGCAGAAGAAGACGGATAAACACTGTGCTTAACTGAGAGAAGATCACCTCCGTGTTATACCTTCTCAACCAACGTCGACTTCACTGATTACTGTTGCTGCCGCCAAAGAATCAGCTGTGCCATGGAACCTACTGGCATCGTCAGAACCGAGCTGAGAGAAACTTCGACGGATTTCCCAAAAGGACTGACGCATCTACTTGCTATCAAAGCAACACGTAAGAGGCTTTAGTATGACTGGGCAGCAGATAAAATGTGAAGTTTAGCTGCTGATCTCAGCTTCCTTGCTGTTACCATTTCATTACCAATAATATCATCATCTGTTTGTCTCAGGAAGGTAAGGGCACATTTCTGTCCACGTAACAAAGTCATAACAGAGGCTGGAGAAGAACTACGTGAAATTACAATCCAACTATATATTACCAATACCAATTAACTACTGATCAGCTGATCATCTCGCTAAAGTAACCGGCAAAGCCAACCCACAGGCTGGAGAATGAGTATGGGACATGAAATTAATCCAACTACATATTTTACAGCACTGACAGGGGAAACACCTCACATCTATGGGTGATTATGGCCAGCTTCAAGCTAAAGCTATCAAACAACTGCTTTCATTTGCATTGTTAAAGTCTGACAAACTTACAGTTTTTTCTGATTGCTTAAGCACATTTTTTGTAACTATTGGCTATTTTTGCAAAACTCTACACACAAATAAGAAAACCTTTCACCCAATTATCAAAACATTGTAGATCTCTTGCAAAAGTGAACACAGCTAGATTAACTCTTCACAGCTTCGTAAAAATGGTGTTTTCGTATCAAACAGTAAACACAAGCCATCATCTACTAAGCACACAATGTGCCAACTACACACTGATGGTATGAATACAAAACACATGGCTTTTGCTTTCTCTGTGTACAGATGTCAATTTGAGGTCATACTTTTGTCATAGTGTCATGTAAACATACAAGGATCCAAACTTCATGTATTGGTGTTTATTCACACTCATCAAAACCAAGACAAAGTCAGAACACAAAATAGTAATTTCACATGTCACATCATGTCGTCTTTCTGGGTCCGGCCACAAAATTTCGTCCACATTGCATGCGATATCCTCCAGTCCAAGGCACCGGGGAAAATATCTCCTTGAATGCCGTATCCAGGCCTGACATGATGCCTGGTCAATATCTCCACATGCCTCCTCCATTGCCTGTAAAAGGGCTACCTGTTGATGAGGATGACGGTCGTACACTTTCCAGCGCAAGGCAGAGAAGAACTCCTCGATGGGATTTAAGAATGGAGAGTATGGAGGGACGATGAGTTGCATGAAGAATGGGTGGTCTGTCAACCAGTTGTGGACCAAAGCAGCCCTATGGAAACTAACATTGTCCCATATGATGACATATTGGGTCTGCTCTGGTCTCTGAACAGTGAGCATGTCATGTAAGGTGTCCAGGAATGCAATAATTTGTGCAGTGTTATATGGGCCTATGGTTGCATGATGGTGAACAACACCATTTTGGCTTATAGCTGCACACATGGTTATGTTACCACCACGTTGTCCTGGGACATTGATGATGGCACGGTGTCCAATAATGTTCCTGCCACGTCTCCTGGTTTTACTGAGGTTAAAACCGGCCTCATCTACAAAAAGTAGCTCATGTCCCATGGCATCTGCTTCTAGTTCCATCACTCTCTGGACAAGACAAAACAAATGCAACACATCAGGCCCTTGCACAGCACTACAGTATGCACTTCCAAATTCAGAACCAATGACACTATAGCTTACCTGCACATAGTCATATCGCAGTTGCTTTACACGTTCTGTGTTTCTCTCGAAAGGAACTCTGTAAATTTGCTTCACTCTTATTCTGTGGCGCGCAAGTACACGACTTAGTGCAGAAATGCTTACACTGTGTATATTTTGAAAGATGGTGTCATTATCAATTATGCGCTGCTGTATTTCGCGCAGTCTTATTGCATTATTGGCAATCACCATGTTCACTAAATGGGTCTCTTGCTCTGGAGTGAACATTCTTCCTCTGCCCCCAACATGTGGACGTCTAGCAATTCTGTAAAGTAACAATTTCAGTATTTTTGCATGTATGGTACTGTTGTGTTTCTCATCAGTATGGCAGTGCTACAAAGTACTTACCGATTCTCATTTCAAAATGTCCTAATGATGCTTGCCACAGTGTAGCGGCGCAAATTAGGCTGAACCCGTTGGCCAGCTTCCCTCAGGGTCATCCCTTGGTTGATGACATGGTCCACTATTGTAGCTCTGATGTCATCAGTTATTCTATTTCTTACTCTTCTTACCCTTCCTCTTTCCCCTCCTCGTCCTCTTCTTGCTCCTCCTTGTCCTCTTCCTCTAACTTCCTCTAACCCTCTCACTTCTTCAACTCCACGTCCTCTTCCTCCAACTTCTTCACCTCCACGTCCTCTTCCTCCAACTTCTTCACCTCCACGTCCTCTCCCTCGGCCTCCTCGGCCTCCTCTGATTCTCACTCCTCTCACTCTTACTGCTCGTTCCATTGTACTCCACACAGACAGCTTATCTGTGGCTTATTTATAGTGCTTAGGCTGATTGCAAAGTGAACTAATTATCTAAAACAGTATTCACATGTGAAAGTGTGCCAGACAGTTGGCAAAATAGTGTTAATGATAGCCATACATGTGTATAATTTTGCTAGGAGTGTGTTGGAAATTTGGTAATTGAGTGTAAGCAGTGAGTTGTGTTTAAAGTTCTGCAAAAAGAGTGTTGTGCAGTGAATTGTACCTACAGTTTTGCAAAGTGTGTGTTACAAAATTGCAAACTGAGTGCAAAGCAGTGTGCTTTTAGTTTTGCAAACTCAGTGAGTGGTTTTGCTATACGTATTAATAGTTTTAGAAATTGTGCTACAAGAATCACGATTAGCGCTTAAGCATTCAGAAAAAACTGTAAAAGTTAAGAGTTCACAGGTAGGTGTGAATTCACTGACACGCCATTTGGGCTTTCTATTGTTCTCTGACCTCCTTTGTGTAGTCAAGCTGCATGGCAGGCTTTGGGGGATTCCAACAGGCTGGCTTGTAGGATATCAGAAGGCCCAGTCTTTGTTCTACCAGACTGTGAGGCCCAACATTTGTATTTCTGTTGTATTTCAAAAAATTAAAAAAGACATTTTGGTAAGATTTGCAGATTGCTTATCTAATTAAGCAAAGTGAGAGGAGCCTTGATCCTCACCAGACAATGCCTTTGTAAACTTCATATATTATCTGGTTTCTAATGGACTCTGGTACAGACACAGTGAGGCTTACATTGTCCTGTTATCTGTCAGTGGTCATACTTGATGCACTAGATGTGATGTTGAGATGTTCTT